GGTGGTGACAGCGAGGCCAAAGGGGTGGGGGACAGGAGGACCTGTGGGTGGAGGTGGCAGAGGGGCCGGCGCTGGCACCAGGCCTTGGCAGGAATCCCCCCAACCTGGCAAACCTCCAGGGGTGGATTTGGGCACAGCCCAGCCCGCTCCAGCCTCGATGATCAGTTTTTTTGGGCGGGGGCTGCAGCCCTGGCCCTGAGACAGCTTGGGCAGGGGGGAACCAGCAGCCCTGGGAACTTCACATAACGAAATTGGGGTGACCAAGGGGTTTGGAGGTGGGCAGACCCCCCTTGTGCACCCCTTCTGCAGCGCACCATTGGCACCGGGGTGCTCTGGGTCTGGGGGCTGCCCCCCAGCAGCGCCTCTGCCCCAGCCCCAGTGACGGGGATGGGAGCGGGGGCTCAGCCAAGCCCCCCTCCAGCCCCATTTGGCGCCGTGGCTCGAGGCTCGCTCATGCAGGGACTTTAATTTGCTGCTGGGGCCGGCGGCCAAGAGCGAGGCACGACCCTGGCACGGGCAGGGCGGGCATCGAGCAGAGCCAGGGGAGGAGGAGGAAGAGGAGGAGGAGGAGGAGGAGGAGGAGGATGGGGCTCAGCCCCGTGTGCGATGCACAAGCTGCTGGCTCCAGGCAGCGGATGGCAAATCCCCTGCAAGGGTGATTTAGCAATTAATGCCTGAGCAAGGCTCCCCGCCTCGGTGAGGCCGTATCCAAGCGACCCGTGGGCCGCAGACATCAATGCGGGGCCGGGCTGCTGCGAGGAGCCCTCGTTTGTCAGCAGCAGCTTCCAGCAGCGCCGGGGGCTTTTCTCCAGGCTGCTAAAAGGGGCGCTCAGCAAGGCGTGCAAGCCCCATCCCATCCCAATTGCCTTCCCCTTCCCCTCCTCATCCCGTTCCCATCCTTATCTTGACCCCATTCCCCTCACCGTCCCCATCCCATATCCATTCCATCCCCATCCCATCCTCCTCCCTATCCCCATCCCCATCCCCTGCCCATCCCATCCCAATTCAATCCTCATCCCTACCTCTGTCCCATCCCATTGACACCCCACCCCATCCCATCCTATCCCATCTGTAATCCCCATCCACTCCCATATCCACATCTCGTCCCCGTCTCCATCCCTGTCTCTTTCCCTATCCCCACCCCATAGACATTCCCATCCCCATTGCATCATCATCCCTATCCCTATCCTCCTCCCCCTATCCCATTCCTATGCCCATCCCATCCCCATCCCAATGCCCTTGCCCATTCCATCCCATCCCATCCCCATCCCCATCCCATCCCATCCCCATCCTTATCCCAATCCCATCTCATCCTCATCCTATCCCATCCCAATCCCATCCCATCCCCATCCCATCCCATCCCCATCCTCATCCCATCCTCATCCCATCCCCATCCCATCCGATCCCCATCCCATCCCCATCCTCATCCCATCCCCATCCCATCCCCATCCTCATCCCATCATCATCCCATCCCCATCCCATCCCAATCCCATCCTCCCATCCCATCCCCATCCTCATCCCATCCCCATCCCATCCGATCCCCATCCCATCCTCATCCCCATCCCATCCCATCCCCATCTCATCCCCATCCCATCCCATCCCATCCCATCCCATCCCATCCCATCCCATCCCATCTTACCCCATCTCATCCTCATCCCACCCCAATCCCATCCCCATCCCATCCCATCCCATCCTCCCCCATCCCATCCCCATCCCCATCCTCATCCCATCCCCATCCCATCCCATCCCATCCCATCCCATCCCATCCCATCCCCATCCCCATCCTCATCCCATCCCCATCCCATCCCATCCCATCCCATCCCATCCCATCCCATCCCACAGCCCCATCCCCTTCTCCCCAAATTCCCTTCCCCTTCTCCATGACCACCCCCCAACCTCCAAACCCAGCACAGATTCTCCTCCTCCGAGGCCACAAAACGCCACCGAGCCCGACGGCTCGCTAACGAAAATTAATGGGGTGAGCGAAAGCTCTGGGGGACAGCGAGGGCAGCGTGCCCTTATCCCCGCCACCAGCACCTGGGGCACGCATCCTGAATTTCTCAGCATCGCGTGTGCCCCCCCCCAGCACTCGGGGCCGAGCTGGTGGCCCCGTGGGAGCAGAGGCGACGCGGCGAGTGCTGCAGTGCAGCTGCCGGTGACGGCGCGTTGGCTCGGGGAGAAAAACGCTGCCTTGCCTCCGCGCCGTCGGAACGGCTGCGAATGGGGAAAAAGGGGAGGGGAGGAAAAAAAAAAATGAAAAAAAAATAAATCAGCCAAACGCAGGGTGTTTAATAACCTGACACGTGGAGAAAGCCTGCTGGAAAGCAGCCTGTCGCCCTGCCCGAAATCACTCATCCTGCAGGCTGGGTTTTTCCAGCCGATTGTGATTCCTGCGAAGGCGCAGCCCGGCCGGGAGGTGCATTGGTTATTCTGCTCCCATCCCAGCTGGGGACTCAGCACCACGCTGGGCATTTTCCCCCGATATTTCCCCCAATAATAGGATGGTTTCTTCACTCCCCCCCTCCAATGCATACAAAAAGTGCCCCAAAACCACGAAAACCTCCCCGGAATGGCTATGAGGGATGCGAAGGTGGCGTCCCAAGGCTCACCAGGCACCAGCCCTCCCGTTCCTAACGAGCTTCGTCATTAAGCGTCAGCAGATCCACACCCCCGCGCCCTCCCGAGCCGGGGATTCGGCGCTAATCATGTTTACTGCAGAGACTTATTGTTGTGTTCTCAGCCGCCGTTCCCGTCACGGCCCGCCGGGGACTTTCCCCCGACCGAAAGGCAGCGGGAGCTCGATAATTGAGGCTTATTTA